GATATGATTGGGCCAAAACGTAAGAGACAGCGTGTTACTATTTTTATTTGTTAAGAACAATTACGCTAACAGTTATAAGTTTTTCAGTAATATACTTCTATATCATTTTAAAATAAAAACTTCGAGCTGTTATTTGAAGGTCTTAAAATTGAGTTCAAGAATTCTGATAAAGTATGTTGCACAAGTTAAAGTATAAGAAAGGGTATTCAAGCGGAAATGTGAATGATGCTAAGGAAAACATGTCAAAATTTAAAAATATGCGTATGAGAGTTGGTCCAATAAATATTTAATACATTGGTTCAGTCACTGCGGAAGGGGCTACAGCATAGGCAATTGAGCTTATCTAAATGTTGATTTCAGTCAAGCAAATATAAAAAAAACATAGTCCTCTTAAAGCCTAAAACTTAAAACCCACGTCAAAGCTATGTTTACAGTGCGTTAGAGGCGATAGTCCGGCAATTGTAACTGTTTCCATGAGATCAGGAATAATCGGCAGCTTATTGGGTGCGAGCCGACGACTAACAGATAGAAAAACATGTCTGACACACTAATATAGGGTTGTGAGTTTGTGGGAAAATTGAAAAGAATTGACGTATGCTGCCTAAGAAAGCCCACCGTTCAAAAGTCTGTTTGTTAAAAATTGACTGCAAACCTTGCAATTGTAGCCATGTGAGGGATCGTTTTTAATTGGTTTCTGTCACCATGGTCTTTTTAGGTGATACTTCCTCATATAAAAGAAAAAGCTATTCTAAAGCCGGATCAGGAGCTGAGCATAAAGATAAAATACTGTCCCTATTTGTTATAGAGACAGAGTGTAGCGAGTTGTGTGCCAAAAACTGTTTTTAATTAATTACTAGCAATCAATTATGATTAATGTCAATTTTCTTCGTAAAGTTCTCGTCTATAAAAAGGCTCACATATACATATATATATTATTTTATTTATAGATGAACAATTTATAACAGACATCAGGTAGTACAAGGGCACTGCGTATTTGAAATTGAAATTTTTACCAGTACACAAAAATTTCGTCAAAAATCACAAAAGGTAATTTCGTCAGTGTGTATATGATTACTAGGAAAGAGAAAAAAAAAACTTCATAATTGTGCAAACATCATATAAATAATAAAAAAATAAAGTTTTATAACATACTCTCCAATATGAACAAGAGGAAAGGTTATGATCCTTCGTTCTTTTTTTGATCATAGAAATAACGATTGATTTTCTGTAGGTATAAGAGTAAAAGAGGGAAAAAAGAAGACAAGTAGGTAAAAGAGTAGGTAATTTTGTGAATATTAGAAATAACTTTGTAATTTTCTTCCATCGATTTTTTAAAAATTCTTATTTATAATTGTATGATCTAGTTTTCTCACCTTAGTAGTAATTTATTTTGAACAAGAAAATTATGACGTAATTTTCTTGTCCAAAATAAATAAAATCTTATTTATTTTATGGCGTAACCGCTCATGCAGTGGCTTTAAGCGTTAAATGAAAATATGTTTTTTTTTTAATAGTAGTCACTTATTGCATTAATTCCCTTTGCAGTTGTTGTCCAAACAGCTGTGTTAATTTGCAATTAATACTTAAACTATTTCTAGGGCCGTAAAAAAAAATTGACTAAAAGTATTGGTATGTGAGCATTGTAAGTAAGCGACATGTATCGTTATTAGTTGACGAAATTTCATTCGTCTTGCCAAGGTATTTGCCAAAAAAACCGAGCTTGCAGCCGGTTATTCTAAAATTGCAGATTGGAATCACGCCGTAGCACTCAACGATTGCTTTTTTTTTTATTATTTTTAAAGAAAAAAGGCTAGTTAACCCTATTTACAGTCAGCTTATCCCGATGATATGCCAAAGAGTAAATTACAAAGACGTATCGCAGATGCGAATATATTTATTTAAAGTCGACTAGAAAAGAGCGCACGATTGATCAAAGTAATGGAACTTTTTTACAACAAATAGGTAAAGAAAGCTGGCTGTTGTTGAAGTTTATATAAAACTACTTTGTACTTAGGAGAAACTCAAACGTTGTAATTGTTGGTAGTAATCTACTTAGAGGTTTAAGTTTTAAGATACGAGGAAGTATGTAAATATAAATATGGATTACTAAAATAGACTTCACTATATGGCGGCAGTACGTTCGGAAGGTTTTTGTCAATTCAAGAAATGGAAGAAGAAAGTGTTTAGACACGAAATTCCGTTCTTTTATTTGTAACATAATTTGAAACCTGAACAATTTGGTTAATAAAAAATTTAAGCTTTAATATTTTGAAGCAACAAAAGAGCCCAATAATACTGAAAACGTCATATAATTATTATATTTCCAATTAATTCATATTTAGTTTGACGAAAATGTTTTTAAAATAATACCTCTTTTGATTTTTGTACTACTTTTGTTTCTTTATTCTAATCGTTATAGTCTGCATTTCTGAAGTACTCTCTATTTCCTTCTGGTTTCGGTTGCGTCGTGGATGCCCTTGTAAAGACTGTTGACAACCGAGGATCGGATTTGGTCCTCTTGGTCGTATGCCATCAATCTTGTTTGTCACCATCAATTCTTCAATATTGTGACCGTCTTTCCCCGCGATGTACTCTAGAAAGAATCGTGGACTTCCTCATAAATTAACATACATTTTATTAAATCTCCCTTTACTTGACTTCGTTTGGGTGAAATTTACTATTTCCATTTCCAGTAGTCAATTTTTTCTCCGAATTTTCATTTATGTCATTTGTCTCTTTATTATTACCAAGAAAATGAATCTAATAAGTGATATGACTTGAAGAGGTAATATCTCCACAATAATGCAAGCCCAATAGTGTAAGGATTCCATATAAAAACTCCCAAACCTGTTTTATTACACCAATACGAATTACTTTAAATGTTACGAACACAGCCAAGACATAATATCGATCCAAGGTACATTTGAATATGAAGATTTTTCTTAAGAAATTGTTTACCGGTTATGAGATCAAGATCTCCATAGATTTTTCAAGTAAATATATAGAGACTTTCATTTAATGCACCTAATGAAAAATAATTACCAACAAAGGTAACTCACCTACTTACAATGTTGTCCTATGTTGTTACACTATTTTTTTATTTGATTGTTTGTTTGCATCAAAAAAGGCTCTGAAAACACTGGAATGATTTTTAAAAGTCTCAAGCAAAATTGCGGGTTTAGAGTTAGGCAATTTTTATAAAGTAAACTACTTATTCTATATTCTATGACATTATTTAATTTTTACGCAATTGTAGTGAAAGTAAATCTTATTAAAAGTGCCTAGCATTCTTTAATAAAATACCTTGTAAAAATGGGTCATTTTAGCCCCTTGTATATCAGTGAAGAACAATATTCATGTTCTTTTATTGTGAAATTTTTATTTATGTTTCTGGAATTCTTCTGTTTGTCTGTATTCAATTTTTTTTTATCATACAGAAACTCAAAATAAATAGCAACATTCTTAATAGAATATTATTATAAAAAAAATATCTACATTACGCAGATCCCAAATTAAGTAGCTAAAGCACTTGTGTTATGGAAATCAGAAACTGTAGGTAACATACACCGAGACTCAATATAATTATAGAATACGTCATTCTCTACATCAATCGACCCGACCGGGAATCGAACCCGGACCTCAGAAATGGTGATATCTCGAAACCAGCGTGAATCGCTTATCGCTTAATATTGATATATAAATATAACAATTTAAACATATTTATTGCAATGATGAAAACAATTCAATAACTACATATAAGCAATTTACGCCAGGGCCCGACATGAGATGGGTGATCAAAACATTATTACCTATCTCGAGTTACTCCGTGATTCGGAACGCAAGATGGTCCCGGCTGGATTTGCTGCCGATAATATCCTCCAATATGCATAGGACCAGCGTAGAAGGTCATGGCCCATCGCCCTTAACCATCCATAAAGAAGACCTGAGTCCCTGCAGTTGGGACGTAAAAGGGCTGATGATGATGATGAACTACATATATGATTTGGCTCTAGCTTTGAGTCGATCACGGCAATTATCGAAAAATTCTGTTTTTCTTTCTATGAGAGACAAAATTTCGTTTTCGGAAAAACAGAGTAAGGCCTTCGGTTGTTGAATATTTGAAAATATTTTTGATTAACGGAACATTACAAAACTCAAAATGAACATTTAATTTTGTTTAAGATCGATGTTAATAGATAAAATAGAATTAATCGATCGGCTTTGCAAAGAATAAAAGAATAGTTCTGTGATGCGAAACTAGATGGCGTTAGTAGTATGAAATCGTCCGTCTTTAGGTAATGTGTGTGGATTTGTAGAGGATGGTTTGATGTAACACGATAATTAATGAATGAAATACGTTGCTATTGATTTTTTTTAAAACATAATTACAATTTAAAGAGAATTTTTGTCACTCTATTATATTTGTTAGTAAAATAAAGACACAGGTTTTTGGAAAAAAAAATCAGAAGATTTTCGATGAGAGACCGCTCAGTGTTCTATTTATTTATTATTAATAACATCGCATTATTACATGATGAAAAGATAAGATTATAATCAATTAATATAATTTTGAGATGCCCACCTACTCGCATCTCATTATTGAATGCCTATTTATAAGCGATCACTTTAGCTTTAATAATAGAAATAATTAGGAAGGTAAACAATCCTTTAAAAATAAGTTCAATACCGAAATTTTGTTCGATCCAATAATCTAATACATCGAGTTCTAAGCTGCAACTTCAAAACAAGTTTCTCGTAAGTTCCGGTCAAATGTTTATTAGTAAAGCGTCTCGAACTAGTAATTAAATGCTAGCTCAAGTTTCGCAACTTAATGTTTAACTTCGAGTAACGGTGCTAAGGCGTCTGCACCGTACCTACTTGTGTGATCAAGTAGGTATCATCTGTACGTATGCGGTGTACGGCACGGATCGTGTACGTTACGTAATGTGCATTGCTTTAGTTCTAGTGTTTACAGTGGCCGGTGCGAGCGCGAGTGTCGTATGTCCCCACCGCGCATCGATCCGCTCCGCCCAACGCTCGCTCCTCCCACCCGCCCCGCTTACAGCACCCCCTCCCCCGCCCCCCTCCCACGTCGCACCCGCGCCTCGGTCCGTGTCGCGACGCCCGCGCGGTCACCTGTGTCGCACGTCCTCAGTCGCAAAGCGGCCGCGACGCGCGCCACCCGCTTCGCAACGCGTTTGTATTATGACAGTGACGTGATGGAAGGCAAAGAGTTCGGTGCGGTTCCCGGCTTGCCGGCCGGTCTGGACTATTTCATGATGCCGCGTGTCAGTCAACCCGCGCCGCAGTTCGACTTTAGAAAATTAGGCGCCAGCTTCAGTGGCCGAGACGAAGACAGGAGCGATGAGAGGCGGTCACCCGAGTATTCGGAGCGCCGCGACCCACCGCCGGCGCCCTGGCCTCTCGGACTCGGCGTTCAGTTCGTGAATCCTGCAACTGGGAAAAAGAGGGTGCAATGCAACGTTTGTCTCAAGACTTTCTGCGATAAGGGCGCGTTGAAAATACACTTTTCGGCGGTTCATTTACGAGAGATGCACAAGTGTACAGTGGAAGGGTGTACGATGATGTTTAGTTCGCGCCGTTCGAGAAATAGACATAGTGCTAATCCTAATCCAAAGTTACATTCGCCGCACGTGCGGCGCAAGATTTCGGCCCACGATGGCAGGTCAGCACAGCCTTTCCCGCTTCTGCCGGCATTAGCGCGGTTGCCATTACCGCCTCCTGCCTTACTACCTCCGGAGCTAGCAGCGCGGCTACCTCCTCCGCTATCGGCACCTTCTGGACCCTCACCTCTACAATCTCGAGTGCCACTCGACGACCTCCACAACTTCAGTGAAATTGAAAAAATGTACAGAAAGCTACCTCCTCCTGAAGAACCATCTCGTGGCGCTTTAGATCTGGCTAAACATTTAGTGAACGTTGACGAGGACTCCGTTAATTATAGTGAAATTAATGATGAATTATCGGACGATGAACAGAAAGATAAATGCGAAAAAATTGCTGAACCTCCAGTGATACAAAGGCTGAATTATGATGATGAACCGGAAGATTTAACTGTGAATAAGAAAAAAGTTGATGAAAAACCCGCCGAAAAGGAAACTAAAATTGAAAATAGAAATAACCCCACCGTAACAGATGATAAGGTTTCTTCAATGGTTCCAAATAAACGCAAACGAAAAAGCGGCAATCCCACTCGGTGTTCTCAAACCAACGAATATAGCGTATCTGATGAAGAATATCAAGGTGGTGATTTATTTAGAAATCTTTCCACGCCCGGCTCGAGTCGTGCCGACGATGAACCGTTATCGTTAAAAAAGCAAAAGTCTGAAAAGTGGGAATCATTTCAGAACGGTGAAGAAGCTACCGCGGATTCCGAATCAGTGACGCGTGTGAAAGCCGAAAGTGAATCTGATGACGAATCAAGTGCACCGAGCGTTGTTCGCGAGGGTTTGAGACTGCGATCAGATCTATATACTCCGAGTGATAGCGGCAGTGATTTACACACCATGGAGGAGCGACTGGCAAGAGCGCGCTCGCCATCAGCGAGCAGTGACAAAACAGACGACAGGGCAGATATCAACGATCTCGAAATACCCATAGACGATGAGAACCCAGATCGGTGTACTGCTTGCGGTAAAGTATTTCAAAACCACTTCACCTTGCGAATGCATTACCGAAACGATCACTTAAAGTTGCTCCATCCATGCGACGTGAACGGGTGCGATGCTGCGTTTCCTTCGCGGCGGAGTCGGGATAGACATAGCTCGAATATCGATTTGCATCGGAGATTATTATCGACTAGCTCACCTGACACTAGAGAACATAGGCCTCCGATGGAGGTGAACAACGAACTTTTGAATAAACTGTATGCAGACATTAAAGGACTGGCTTCCACATTAGAGAGTTTAAGGTACGGAGGGAATGAAGAAGCGTCTCAACTTCCTAGTTACGTAACTGAGACGATGAAGTTTTACAGTCGGAACTTGGGTGCGTTGCAAACGGGTTTGTTTTCGCAGTTTGGCGAGAGGTCGGGGTTTTTTCCGAGTCCTTTTTTGATGGGTAACGGGGTGCCACATGCTGGTGGGCCTTATGGAGCACCTGCCGGAGCTCAATCAGCGAGGGAGTCGATGTCGCCTCTATCGGCATCATCGCCACCCGTTATATCTCCAGGGAGGCTGGATGCGGCTCATGCCCGCCCTCGCGATGACGCGAAGCTGCTTTTTCGCGAGACCTCGGAATCCTTCAAAAAGATGACGTCATTATGTGAGCGGCAAGAACAGCTTTACCAACACCACGTGCCGGTGTCATGACGCCGCCTTTGTCCCCGCCCTTCCTGGTGATACCTTATCTCCCCAAGCTAACCGCGTTAGCGACAGACTGTATATTTAATTGTTAATAATTTTAATTGTGTTAATTCTATTTTGTATTTCGTTTTGTATTTTTCTTGTGATATTTAGACAAATATATGGTAATTATCGATCCCACAAACTGTAAGTTAATAGGGATAGGACAGTGAATCGGCGTTTGTGACGCAAAGTGCAATAACGGACTTGGATATTATAAATATTAATGGGCTCGACGTACGTTATGTACCGTGTAGACTATTCATAATCGATGTTGAAAGTAAACGTTATAATGATCAGCTTCATTTATTGTTCTGGCGCAATAAACTCATTGAGGAAAATTCTAAAATTGTTTTTATTACCCAAATTGTGTCGCCTCGGTAAGTCGTGGCGTGGACGTAAGATAACATGGATAAGCTTGTTTATAATAATAATGTTCACTTTATGGCTCATTGTGGGGAGCCATTCGACTGGAAAGAACAAGCACCTGACTTCTTTTAATTATAACATAGATAACCATGCACTGGCTTTAACACATTTCTTAATAATAATGACGCTACTAATGAAATATTTAATAAACTCGTAACTCCTAGAGTAAAATTGGATAAGAGTTAAAGATATTCATCTCATCACAAATTGTGTCGTTAAATACCAACAACTTAACATGAGCTTCTCAAACTCACTAATATTTTATTTAATATGACATAGATCTTTAATAATAAGAGTGAATAAATAAAGTTTAATATGAAAATCAATTTTGATATGAATAATTTAACAGAATGTCATAAAAATGTTGACTAATTTATTAATATACATTAAAATGAACAGAAGCTTCGGCTTTATTAAAATTTATGGTTGAATGATGATCTTATTATACTAATATTGCAATTAATCATTGGCATAAGTGATTTCAGAAAGTAGGAGGCTTGTTTTTATTTAAATTAAATAGTAACATATAATAAATAGTCCACGTTGGTATAAGTGTTATTTCTCAATGTCAATTCCAGATAAAAGTAAGAATTGTAATTCTAACTTACACAAACACAGTGACATGAAGATTTGTTTTGCCAGAAAAGCTTCTTTGAAACAAGAATAAAGATGTAAACAAAACTCCTTAGATTTTATTTTTCAGTTTTCATTATATAAATATTGAATGCGTTTAGTTTCTCATAAATATACAATTGTGTTTAATCACAGAATATACAATAATTCTTTTAAGAAATGATATCAAGGAAAAATAATAAAACAAAGACCACGAATTTGGTATATTTATGTGAATTAATTAATTGAATTTTTTATACTTTATGGATGGTATGATATAGGCATTTGTAACAAAAGTTCAATTTTAATATATTGAATGAACATAATGTACTCCTTGAATACACTTTTAAACACTAAAACAAGAAAGTTGACACATGCTTGTCCAAAATCTTATCATGTTATTTTTCCAAATTAAATATTGAATTTCCAAAGCGTCGGTCACATTTGACCACAATTGACCTCGAAACCGACCCGAAAAAATTCTTCCTCAAATCAAAAGCTGTAATTACCGAGTCGCCTGTCCATTGCCGTGAGAACAACACTAATTGTTGTAGCAGACCTGTTATGATTTAATAACAGGGCGACGTTCAAAATGCTAATTCGTGTAACATTTTTCCCAGCACCGATAAAAAAATGTCGGCCATTATCGTCCCATGGAGGTTTAGTGCCATTTTTTAACCAAATTCGAAAGAGGAGGTTGTCAATTTGACTGTTTTTTTTAAATGTATTGCTAACGATATCTTCTTCGAAGGAAGCATGTGTTGAAGAATCGTTTTTCCTAAATTGGATCGAATTGAATCGATAATTGTTTGTAAACTTCAAAAATTTGTAAGTTCTAATTACCAATCTTGTAGTCACTAAAAATATTCGATTTTTGAAATAATACCTACTTTTATCAATTCACTAAGAGCAATCTTTATAACACAAAGGAGTCGAGCAAATTCCAGAAATTTTATTTAAATCGATCTGTCAAAAGTACGGCCAGCAAATCTTCGCCGATAAAAAATGTCGGTCATTATAGTCCCATGAAGGTTTTGTACCATTTTTTAAATCTGCTAATGATACACTGTTGATATTGACAAAACGTTCAGGATTGGAGTTATTTGTAATACAAATTTAATTGCTCAGCCTAAGGATAGATTATTTGTGTCGGAGCGTGACGGTTGATGGACATTTTTAGACTCATATTTATCCGGTTCTGTTAATGAACTGCAAGGTGGTTCACTGTTGCTACATAACAAGGTGGGGTTAGAATGTTTTTCTGTTCATATTTATATTGTAATATTTTGCCATTAGGACAGTTATTAATAAATTATAAAAGCAAAATAAGTACCTACTGCTTTATAATAAATATAATGAACCTCCAACAAACAAGTTTACAGAAATCACCAGTTTCAGGTGCCCCGAGATAGGATTCGAACCTTAGGCAATCCCGGTGACTGCTCTAACCATCGAGTTACCCAAAGCCCAGCAGGATTAAATTAGTCCTGAAGCATTTGTTATTTTCGCTCCTAGTGAGCGTATTTTCATAAAATTTTCAGATTAGACATTCCATCCAAACAGCCAATAGAATTATTTCTACAAATATTTTTATTATTTGGTAATAAACCTGGGACTGGTGATTTTTAAGCAATTTTCTTTAAGGTAGTTGTCAATACAATAATATCAATGCAAAAGAAATATAATGTAACTGAATCCTTACATCAATAGAATGTTTAAAAAGCCAGCGAAATTGGTCTGGTTTGGGTAATATTGAATCTATTTGGGCGCTCTTTCTTGAATGTCTTATATTCTTAAATAATCCACTTCGCCCGTGACAATGTGAGATGGGACTCATTTCATCAAGAATATTTTTTATTATAGCATTGTGAATGCAAAAATGATCAAATATAATGAATGTCTTATGTTTTAACGTAATTGTAATATAATAAAGTCGTAAGCAGTTCCAACTGCTTCCTCAACCAATATGGCAGCAAAAGTTTATGAACACTTTTATCGCAGCAGTCTGTGTATTATGAAATAAAAGTAATTTGTGGGAACAAACTTAAAAAAAAAAAAATTGATTAGTTTTTTTCAGTAATAGATCCTATAGTAATTTCTGACCAAGGATTTGGCATGTAGGTCAGTATGTTTTTGTGTGATAGTCAATATAATAATTCGTTATTGATCTTGTTTGTAACACCCGTATCTATAGTCGAGTAAAAGTAATTAATTTATTAAAAGTTATTAGTTAAGCAAACATTTCTAAGAAATAAGAATTTGAATGAGATAAGAACTGTTAGCAATAAGAATACCTACTATTGTTATTATTACCTATTATTATTTGCTAAAAATATCTGCTAAGTTATGGAATTTTCTCAAGCAATTACTTATCTCGACATAGATACTAGTACGAATGCAATTCACTTATTCTGGGTCTAGATAAAAATGAAACATTTAATTTTATTTTCAAAGTGAAAACTTATTAATTACGATATTAGAACAGGAAGCTACAGATACTAAATTACATTAACAGATTCGACATTTGATTGATGCATCTTAGAAAGGTGGCAATTCTGTTGTACCTACCACTCTCTAAATTAATCAAAAAATTCTTTAATAATAGTTTGAGATCTAGGAAATAAAAGTAAACATACTCTTACCCGCCTACCATGAGGAACTCTTGAAACATTTTGCCTACAGTATGTTTTCTTAGATCACTCTTAATCGTGGTAGCTAGATAACGGTAGCAATTATTTTACACGAACGCGACTAAATTTAGTTTTAGTCTTGGCAGACTGCGATTCAAATTGTGTGAATAAATAAACTTTATATATTATACAACAGTATAATTAATTAACTTTTAGATATAAATACGGAATAATTTAGAAGCAAGCCCAAATTTAAATTTGTTTGTTTTCAATCAGTATCTCAAAGAGCAGCTGTCCAACGTCTCTACACAAAATTTACATGTACATACAAGCGGCAAAAAATTATGCAACTATCATTTTATATGTGTTTTATCATTCCACGGATTTAAGAACTCCTGGGTATGATATGTGCTTGGATATTTCTTTCTATCTATATCTTCACTTTATATCCGAGGGGCAAGCAGATAAAACCGTAGCGTTACATTTGAGGTTTGCCGCACAAACTTCAAGTAAAGTTTAATGACGCCTTTAAGCTCTAATTAATGTCAAATTTGAATAGGTAAGGTCACTTTAAACTAATGACAACTGGCTGTCGTTTGTACAACAGGCTGTCTGCCTTTACTGAGTTTTTTTACTACTACACTCGATTCGCAAATCTATTCAGTCAAAAGATGTTAAATTCGAAAGATTCAATAAGAAACTTGACATATGTCGGTTTGTTATTTACAGAGTTGTTTATTAAAATTATTATTAGGAGAATTAAGCTGGTTTTTATTTCAGTAATTTTAATATAAATTTGCAACTAAGATTCAATTTAATTTTTCGAGTATCTCGGCGGAATAGTGGGTAACCTCAGGGGATGGGTGAACAAAAATATAGTATCTCGAGCTACTCCGTGCTTCGGAAAGTACGTTAAGCCGTTGGTCCCAGCTGCTTTTGCAGTCGTTAATACCCTCCAATATGCATTGGGCCAGAGGTGAGGGTTACGGCCCATTCTCCTTAACCATCCATAAGGAAGGTTTGAGCCCCTGCAGTGGGGACGTAAAAGGGCTGGTGGTGGTGATGATACAAAACCTATTTCCGACTTGGAATGGAAGATTTCATGAACATTTGAACCGCTTTTAAGATGGTTATTATTTTTCGCGTTTTGAAAGTCTTATTTTCATTATTTTTATTAAGTTTTCGTTTTGTTTGTTACATAATTATTATTTAATATCATCACACGTTTAATTTCACTTTTTTATGACTAGTTCCAGATAACAAATTTTTGAATATCCATCCAATCACTGATTATTGAGAAAGTAGATTAAACCCTCAATTACTCCCGATCGAATAACCACTGAGCATTCACAGTTCTCAAAACTTTAAATTGATAATTCAATATAATAAACTTACAAAATGCTTTGAAACCGTGTTTGCAGAAGCTAAGACGTCGTAAGCCTTAATTCCTAATTATAACGTTTGACAAAATGTACAAAGACTTGCCTTTAGGCGTCTTTGGAGTACGCAAAGATGAGGACTTAGGGTGAAATTATTGCTCATTAGATAATGAACTACACCACTAAGACATAGATTCGGAATTGATTAAAGCATGCAAGTTGATAATTAACATTATTAATGCAAACTGTCTTCGTTTTGTGTGGTTTGTGAATTGTTTGATTACCTTGAATATAGTAGGTG